TACATTTTGAATACTTTGATTACTTTTGACATAACTAAGAAACCTAAGAACATGTATTCCATTCTTTGTTATCAACATGAAGTGTATTAAACATTACACTATGCCAGGGCTTCCCAAACTGTGGTTTGTGAATGAACTGCAGGCCAGGGTTTGTGAGTTGATGAAAAGCAAACAGAACAATATGACACAGAATAATATGTAATGATGTAATCTATAAAAAGTAACAGTAATCTGATTATGAGCATTTTGAAATGCAGTAAAATCTAATCACAAGTAGATTACATGTAATCAGTTACTAACACATGTGCACACAGTATCTTTGAAAACAGTCAAATTCAAGCATTTTTACATGCTTAAGTTTTCCTATTGTTCAGATTATTTCAGGTCTACACCATCCCTTTCAGTTTCATCAAAATTGAATTTGGATCGAGCTCAATCACATCGATTGTGGTGTTTACATGAAGGCATTTCTGGCCTGTTGGACCATCAATCCAGTCACTAATGCATTATTTGGTTGCACGCAGTAATAGCTATTGAGGTTGACAAGTATTGTCACCCCCAATATCTGATACTTGATGTTGCTCTGCTGCACTTCATTACACAATGTGTCTGTTGTTATGATGAAAAAATATAAATAAAATTTTTTAAACCTTATATTTTTGTAGCGGGCTGCCTTAGCAGTCTAACAGCGCTTACTACTTTCAAAATTATTAAGATGGCCAATCAAATCAAAGAAGTGTCCACCCTTTTCTGTTCACAGAAGCCAAGTGTGAATTCCAGAACAAAGCTACAGTGTTAATGCGGAAAGACGGTAAGGTAAGATGTAAGCAGCTAAACATTTAATATCTGACAATTGTTTTTATGACAGAAATGTATCTATATAGTAGGGAGGTATACGACATTGTCACAAAGGCAATAAGGAAGAACTGCGATTTTTAGGTTGCTATCCAAGTAAACAAAAGAAGAACATGGCTACATATACTGCGATTCCTTCTAAAACAGAAAACAAAGGGTTAAGCTCACGGCAGCTTATTTGAAACATCTGGTTCTTCCAGCAAAACTATTTACTTCATATCGTTTGAGGTAAAAACTGATTATTGGCAATTAAATGCCCATTAATTTTTCAAGCATGGAATCCTGCCAGATGTTTTACGTCAGAGAGAAAAATAGCTACTCCTATTTTTTTCATTTCATAATAGTCACTGGCATGATGAATCTTTTCCATACACGTAAGCACAATTAAAAGGTGTGGACTTTTGTAATGTAGCTGCATTTAAAGGGGCTAAACTGACAGTTGAGTACTGAGCACAGTTTGGACAAAAGTAACTAAGTTCAAGAGTTTCCTGAACAGGACAGGGATATTATATGATTTATAAAAGGGCACCACAGACTTGATTAATTCGATGCCACTATGCTGCCCGTTGTCTGAAAATAAACAGAAGGCCTTTTGAAAATCGTTGCCCTATTTCTTCTTATTGATATATCTGTGGCACAATTGGAAAAATAGAATCTAGGTCTTATAAATTAAGAACTCCTTGCTAGGCCACATGAAAACTGAAAACACTCCAAAGACAATGGCTGACTCCTCAACCTAACATAATAAATGACTATCGGGCGCTATAACAATCTGCTCCCTGCTTGCTCTGACCTCGACACAATGGCCCAGGTTGCCCAGCTGTGGCCCTGCTGGAGTGCAGCAGCTGAAGGTAGTCTCTCCACCCTGACCTGGCTGGCTCTGGCTCAGGCCAGCACTTTTTAATTCCCATAAGAAGCAGAGAAGCGCTGAGAGGCCGGGGCAAGCAGGAGTAAGCATCTATTGCACATGTCAGGGCCAGAACCCATACACTCCCTCACTGACCTCAATTAGAGCCGACTAAAAAAAAAAGGCTAAAACTTACTGCCCCGCTACATGCACATGGATACAAACTAGCAAGTTATAGATTACACGGATGGCATCATTAAAGAGGCGGGTTTTTTTACAATACTAGAGTAACCTGAGGAAATTAAGTTAATGAGATTCGTATTAAGTAAGGACTGTTATGTCATGCTGAAAATATCAATTGTACAATATCACACGAGCCAATATCATAATACCACGTTTTATACAACAACGAAATAAAACATTAATATAGACTAACTTCCATGTTTGACGCAATATTTCAGTTAGATTGTGTACAGTAGCTCCAAACAAAGCCAAGGTGTCTCCAAGCAGCACACAGCGGTGGTGTTTGGTTCCCGGGTAAATAAATCAGTGTATGTGAATGAATCGGTTGAGTGAATGATTCAAAGACTCACTCGCAAAGCACGTCACTGGTTTCAATCGTGAATGAATCAATGTTTGAATGAATCGGTTGAGTGAGTGAATTACTGAAGGACTCGATCATGAAGACAGTCACTTAGCGCTACTTACTGGCATAACGATGTAAGATGAATCATAAATCTAGCAACATTAGGTCACTTAAAGGGTTAGTTCACCCAAAAATGAAAATTAGCCCATACATTTCTCACCCTCAAGCCATCCTAGGTGTATATAACTTTCTTCTTTCAGACGAATCCAGTCGGAGTTATATAAAAAATTGTCTTTGATCTTTCAAGCTGTTTCATGGCACTCAGCGGGTGTTACATGCATCAGTCCAAAAGCACTTAATTAAAATGCGCCCATCCATAAAAAAAAGTGTCTCACACGGCTCCGGGGGGTGAACAAAGGCCTTCTGTAGCGAATCGATGCATTTTTGTAAGAAAAATATCCATATTCAAAACGTAATAATCACTTTAATGTAGCTGGTTGTATGCTACATTACTGTTGTATGGAGGTCGGCTTTGCGCATGCGCCGCTCAGAAGTGACGCGCAGGGGAGAGATCAAAACAAAACAACGGTCACAAATTAGAAGTACAAAAGTAAATAAACTTTTGTTTTAAAAGACAAATGTTTTTACAAAAAAAATAGACAATTTTTGTAAAGAAGAATGTCGGAGGATTTCGATATAAGCCAAGAGGAGACTGGTTTTCCTTTGCTAAAGTAAGGAAACTTTGCTTCCTTTGCTCCTGTACACAAACGTTGGTTTTCACGAGACTCACCGGCGCATGCGCAGCGCTGACCTCATACCTCATCAGCCCGGAACTGCTTCCAGTGTACAACAGTGAGCACAACCTAGATTAAAGTGATTATTATGTTTTGAATATGGATATTTTTCTTATTGATTAAATGCATTGATTCGCTACAGAAGGCCTTTGTTCACCCCCCGGAGCCATGTGAGACACTTTTTTTTTTATGGATGGGCGCATTTTATTTAACTGCTTTTGGACTGATGCATGCAACACCCGCTGAGTGCCATGAAACAGCTTGAAAGATCAAAGACAATTTTTTATATAACTCCGACTGGATTCGTCTGAAAGAAGAAAGTCATATAATCCTAGTGTGACTTGAGGGTGAGTAATTTAAGGGCTAATTTTCATTTTTGGGTGAACTAACCCTTTAAGACCGTGGAAAATGTGAAAGGTACATATATTGTAAAATACTATAAATCTATATTTGGAGTCTTGTTAATGTCTTTTTTTATCTTTTTTTAATGTATTATTATTATTATTATTATTTAAATCTTTGGAGTTACTTGTACTTGTTTTATATGAATTTTAGTTTACTATGTTCTTTAATTAAAAAAATAGCTAAATTTTATATATAATAATAATAAAATAATATCTTACAGCTGCTGAGGAAGTGACTGTAAATTAGGTATTTATTTTTAATTTAATTTAATTTATTTATAAAGTTTTTAGACCAATCAAACTGGTACTAACTATTTTAGGCTAACACCCTTTAACCCTTAGTCAGGTTAGACGCCATATTGAATTAAAAAACGAGGCATAAACAATGGCACACAGTATAAATGTCCTAAATAACATACACATTTTTTTGTTTTCTTTGCTTATTTTGGAATTTTTAATTTTTTTTTCACCTGAACAAGCGGTATGTTGTTAAACAACAGTACAACCCACTGAACTTCCATCACTCACAGCCTCGTTTTCATTCCTGTCAGATAATAAATATGGTGCTACCCTAAGGTCTAGACATATTATTTTAAAGAGAGGATGAATACAAGCAATCATGGCTGACATTTTTCTAAAAATATTCATTACAATCAACAGAAATGTTGATCTATTTTGATTTTTTTTTTCTCCCTGAGTCACTGGGGCTGTTCATTTATACTAGCGCTTTAGAGATCACAGCAGTCCTGCTCGCAAGCAGGCGTAACAGGAATAACATCAAACCTCTAAATCACTGCTTCACTGTTATTTTGGGATACCCAGCAGACCAGGACACCAATTGAAGCCTCATCAGCAGCCCTATTATCTCAGCTGTGGTGTTGGGTGGCTGGAGCAGATTTGTGAGGGTCATACTGTGACCTCCATGAGCAACCAACAGGCCGGGCTTCTTTTAGCTAATGCAATTAACCTTGTGGAGAAAAATAAAGAAGGACAGGCAGAGACAGAAAAAAAGAGCAACAAAAAGAAAACAGACAGCACAAAGCTGAAAAGCCACAGTATGATAAAGAGAGAGAGAGAGAGAAAGAGAGGGAGTCTCCCAGAAAGAAAGGTAGAGGTGAGAAGCTTAACTCATAATGATGGGGGGAAGCGTGCCTGGGCTGAGGGGGCTCTCTTCTCACGGCTCTCTCTCTTCTCATGGGAAGCAGAGGTTGGGAGCACCCGTCTTGTGGAGGAGGTAAGATGAAGGGCCAGTGTCAGCCTGGCTTTTAATGGTCAGAACTGTGGTTAGTTCTTCTGACTATGTCCTGTCCCCTGTGGCTCAGAGTCCACTCCATATAACTGGCCATAATTCACCTCGTTTGGCAGTTTGGGGTCTCCAAGGTGCAGGATAAAAAGTGCAGGGAGCAGTAATGGCAGAGAACAGCTGAGGGCACATCTAGTGAGAGAAGAGCAGAAAACCACACTCTGACTGGAACCTTTAAACCAGTACACACTGAAAAAATGGCAATGGGGAGGTTGTTGAATTTTTAAATATGCATTTCTTACATGATTAATTTATGCTTCTCATCTAAACATATGTTAATCATGTACCATGTATTTATTCAGTAAGGATGTTCAACCATATAGAATTAATCATGTTGAAGCTAAATGAAGTAGTTATGTTTTGTTCAGAAACCCCGCCCCTTTTCGAAGGAAACCAATTCGCGCCCATCGCCATTTTGTCTCTTGCTGTGGATGGGATCTGAGCTCTACACTGAGGTAATTAAAACTTGAAAATAAAATTCAGTTTAGAGTAGCCATTCAGTATTTGAATGTGCACATTTTCGCTCAGGCTTTATGTACTTGTCATATCAAACAACATTTTTTAAAAGTTACGTTTGTGCTAATGCTCAAGTTAGCTAACTTTGACACTAGCTTTAGCCGCGTCTGAAAATGTAATTATAGTTTGTGTGTAATCTTTTTCTTTGTATGTCGACTAGTTTAAAATTTGCGTCAGTATGACAAACTGAACCGTGTCTACACCGGTCGTTACCGTTGTCGTGCTGCAACAGCTTGGTCAGAAATAGAACGGGGAATCCGTTATCCGTCGGGGATTTGTCGCGCCGTGCCGCGAGGGTGAGTAACGATGGGCTCATTTGAGATGCCCCTCGCCTCGCCTAAATGCAGGTGAGAGTAACGTTAGGCGGCTGCAGTCCGAGGACGAGTGGAAAAAGTGCAGCGAGACGTCCAATTCTCCAGGTGGATCAGACACATGCGATGATGCGAGTTCAAAGACGGATATCGTGTGATTCACACTCATGTTGTGTTCCTTCCTAATAAACTGGATGTCGTTTAAGTAACGTTAATGTTGCTTTTTATTACAACTTACAATGAATAAGACTTTTTTACAGATGTATTTTAATGCACTTTTTAGTAATATGACAGCAATCACATAATTCAGAGAGTATATTCACACATAATTTATACACATAAAAACATGATATTAGGCTTTTGAAAGAGAACTATTGCTTAAAGCAGTGGTTCTCAACCTTTTTTCCCAGTCTCGCGGGCTGCACGCATATTATTTGCATATTACGTCAGCAATACAAACCAACTTGATTTATAATATTATAGCCTAAATATTATGATATCTAATCGATTACATTCATTGAAATAAATAAATAATTCTACTCCCCATAAATAACACCCAGTTTTGTGAACTTCGGCTCAAAGGAGTAACAGCACAATCATAGGCGGAGTTTCACTTTTATGCGTGGGGGGGGGGCACCCACTGACAGACGAGCCACGAGCACTTTTTTATATGTTCTACATTTCATGCGTTTATGTAACACATATTTTACATTAAAAAATAAATTTAGAATGAACAATAGCTGCTGTACAAAGAGTAAAAAAAATAAAAACATACCTAATGCAGAAAAGCCGCCTCTTTTTCTGAATTGCGCAGATGACCACTATCTTTTTCATCTCTTCTGATAAATTTTCAGTCAAATCGTTTTCTGTGTGCTAGATCAGAGCTGGAGCTCTGCATTTCAGCCTGTTTTAGGCTTCTCCTTATTTGTATATTTTAGACATCCGTCAATTAGTGATGAAAAAAGATTGCCGCACTGGTGGAAACGACACGAGACCGTGCTACCGAGACTGCCAAGAGCGGCTCTACGGTGTTTAGTGTCCCGCAGCAGCAGTATGTATGGTGCGTGCCGTCAGCGCAGCTGAAGAGAACTGCGTTCAGATGCACGCAATGGGCTCTAAGCAGCGAGAATTGTGATGTATTTCCGCTCATACTTTATACCGGCAAGGGCGCTTCCGGTTTGTATGGTAACTAAGAGAAACCATCAGCTGTGTGGGAGTCACGGCCCCTCACTAAAACAACAAAGAAAACGTTGTAGTTTTATACCGTTTTAAATCGACATTATATCTTCTCCATAACCATGGAAAATAAATAAATATGTACACTACACCGGGGCCTGTAAGATTTTATTAAATATTTTGATAAAGACGACTATAAAAAAAACTGCTCTCCAAGACTGCATTTATTTGATTAAAAATACAGCAATATTACAACCATTAGCACACTGGTAAAGTTTTTTTTTTATTTTTTTTATAGTTTATTAGGCCTAGTATATAGTTTATTAGTGTTGTGTGTGTGTGTGAGTGTTGAGGGGTGGGCGTGTGCAAAGTCAGTGTAGTTTCGTTATCTGAGAATCAGTTTAAGACTGTAGTAATTACCTAATTAGTGTACCATGTGTTATGCCTTAAATGTTTTAAAAGAAACAATTTATTTATTTGCAGATTTGCAACCTATAAGCACATGATGGCCTTCTGGGAACAGATTGAACCTTCAACACACAGGATGATTCGTGTCACCAGCTCCAAAGTCACCAGGGAGACTGGGCTATATGTGAAGACTCGGGCACTTCCTGCAATTGATGAATTCTTCCTCTTCATGATGCACCTTGCTTTGGGCCTCAAGCAGAAAGACCTGGCTCATCGCTTCCATGTCCATCAAACTACAGTGAGCCACATCATAACCACTTGGGCGAACTTCCTCTATTTTCTTTTAGGTTCTGTGCAAATTTGGTTGCCGAAAGAGAGAGTACGAGCCTATCTGCCAGAGGAATTTGAGAATTTCCGAGACATCCTGGACTGTACCGAGCTTCGCTGCCAAACACCTTCGTCTCTGCTATTACAGAGTGAGGTCATTTCCAACTACAAATCTCACTGCACCTTCAAGGCTTTGATAGGAATGGCCCCTCATGGTGCAGTAACTTTTGTCTCTGGACTGTATGCGGGGTTTTGTCTAATCTGGGATGTTTTTTTACTTGCCACATATAATTCTGTCAACTATCAGATTAGACCACTTGTCAAGGCATGGTTTGAAATATTGTAAATATTTTCTGCAAACTGTCTAATTTTCTTAATATGATGGCCTGATGTTTTTTTGCTTGCCTTTTGACTTACCACATATAGTTCGTACCAACATTCTTTCATTACTGATACCTGATAATTAACATTCTTCTTGACCAGTTGGTTCATTAAAAAAATAATTTTACCATCCAACTTTTGACCTCCTTCCTTTGTTGGAGCAGCCATAGTTAAACCTGCAATTGCAACACAGTTCTAATTCTGTCAATCTTCTGCCACCTGCTCAAATCTTTATTTACAACTATGGTGAAAGACCAGACTAAGATACAGTATTCTCAAGTGCCTTTTCTATTTATTTGAATGTTATAAGTTATATTTATGAATTACATTTATTATGATAGTTACCTACAACATTCCTTCGCAATTATTAATGCAAATAAATACGTACACAAAATCCCTTTCAGAGCCCATCAACAGTAACTTGATGGTCCATGGGCACTTTAAGAAAAGCTGTAATATTGTATGCTAGTCTACATTGACAGTTATGTAACAGTATAAAAATATCTGTGAACAACAGCAGTATACAGTGTAACAGTAAAACAATAACAGTATGTGTACTGTATACTAAGTAAAAATTTCCATTTTGTATAGACTTGCTAACACGAACAACAGATCAGTTAGAATACTGCATAGACTCGCAAAAATAAACAATAGATAATTTCAGATATTGTAGATTTGTAAAAATTAACAATAACACCTGAACTCACTGAACTGATTGAAACTGAAAGGGCTTCTTAATTGATAACCTGGTACCATGCAAAATCCACAGGCCTGCTTTTGTGACCAAGGGCACACAAATGTCTGCCGGAGAGGTGAGACACACTCAGTCTGTGGCCAGGCTCAGGGTGCATGTTGAACGCCTGATTCGGCGGGTGAAGGAACATAAGTTGTTTGACACAGTCATCCCCTTGTCCATTTCTGGTAGCATTAATCAACTGTTTGCCGTGTCATGTCTTCTCATTAACTATCAGAATGGACCACTTGTCAAGGCATGGGCCCAGTGAGTCTACAGTGTCATTCTTGTCTGTGTACTAAGTCTTTATTTTGCACATTGAAATATTGTAAATATGGTCTGGAAACTGTCTTAATTTTCTTACTATGATTGCCTAATAGATTTTTTTTGCTTGTTACTTTTGTCTCATCTGGGATGTTTTTTTACTTGCCACATATAATTCTGTCAACTATCAGAATGGACCACTTGTCAAGGCATGGTTTGAAATATTGTAAATATTTTCTGCAAACTGTCTAATTTTCTTAATATGATGGCCTGATGTTTTTTTGCTTGCCTTTTGACTTACCACATATAGTTCGTACCAACATTCTTTCATTACTGATACCTGATAATTAACATTCTTCTTGACCAGTTGGTTCATTAAAAAAATAATTTTACCATCCAACTTTTGACCTCCTTCCTTTGTTGGAGCAGCCATAGTTAAACCTGCAATTGCAACACAGTTCTAATTCTGTCAATCTTCTGCCACCTGCTCAAATCTTTATTTACAACTATGGTGAAAGACCAGACTAAGATACAGTATTCTCAAGTGCCTTTTCTATTTATTTGAATGTTATAAGTTATATTTATGAATTACATTTATTATGATAGTTACCTACAACATTCCTTCGCAATTATTAATGCAAATAAATACGTACACAAAATCCCTTTCAGAGCCCATCAACAGTAACTTGATGGTCCATGGGCACTTTAAGAAAAGCTGTAATATTGTATGCTAGTCTACATTGACAGTTATGTAACAGTATAAAAATATCTGTGAACAACAGCAGTATACAGTGTAACAGTAAAATAACAGTATGTGTATTGTATACTAAGTAACAATTTCCATTTTGTATAGACTTGCTAACACGAACAACAGATCAGTTAGAATACTGTATAGACTCGCAAAAATAAACAATAGATCAGTTCAAACATTGTAAATTTGTAAAAATGAACAATAACACCTGAACTCACTGAACTGATTAATGAACTGATTGAAACTGATTAAACTTATTGAAAGATACTATGCCCAAGGCCATTGGAGTGACTTACTGCAAACACTTCTGTATGTAGTGGTAAAACAAAAAATTATCTGTTCTGTCTCTAATGGTGTGCATTACATCAAGATCTTTATAAATACGCTCGACTAACATGTCTTCCTGAGCACAAACAACAAAATCACACCACTCTAGCCCTGTCAAGAGCATCTGACCTTGAACTTGCCAGTAGTACTTGTGCTGCCTCCTGAGTTTCAAAGCACCACCGGACATTTTTAGATAGGGGCAGTCCACATAGCTCTGGATATTGGGGCATTTGACCTCAAGGAGACCAAATGGTGGGTTCCCAGAGGGATCAAAGATGACTCCATCAGGAGAGCTACCTAGCCATGGAGCATCAGGATGTACCATGAACCCGCAGGGTGAACAGTTCACATTTTTAAAAGTGCAATACTCTTTAACAGCGAGTGGCTCCATATCAATACCTCTCCTCATATTCGTGGTCTGACCAGTCCCCTTGAGAATTCTCTCAGCCAGATTCTCTGCAGATGTATATCCACGAACATGGCATACCTCGTGGAAGCGAGTAGATGTCACTCTCATCTTTCTCAAATTAATGCTAACGTTTGCTGCTACAATAACATTTCATCGTAACGACTTACCCTCGTAATTATCGATGTAGCTGGCGATATACATCTTAAATCCCTTTTCCCGTTTGCTGGAGGGAGTGGGGCATGACTTTTTGACAAGTCGGTCCACATCATTAATAGTCAGACGAGGTAGGTCTTGAAGACAGCGAGTGAAAAGAGAGGCCATGTTTGCCTGTTGTCGGTCTGTCTGTCAGTCAAGTGAACTAGAATTTCGCGGTCAGTGTAACAGAAGTTTCTCAGCCGGTATAAGCCAATCCGGAACTGTGACGTGCATTGAGCGCATAGGCTTAAGTTTTGCCGCAAAGCATTGGCAAAAGTAATTACCATAAATGGGTCAGGGGGAAACAGGAAGGAGATATTTGAATTATTTACTAATAAACTAGTGTTTTCTGAGTCGATGTCGCAAGGATGAAGTTGTCGATCCTGACTCGCCATCTCTTCATTAGAGAAGCGCCTTTAGAGAGAGGTGCATCTTTACAGATTATGATCATAATGAAAGAGTTTTTGATTTGTTTTATTTCGTTAAGTAGTAATTTAAAGCTTTCTATAGATATATTTATCATGTCTGTGAGACATGTATTCGCTGAGTTTCAGTTCATTTTTTCCTGTTGAAGAAGAGACGGCAGAAAGCGCATCATGTTTGATTTCTTTATTTTATAAAAGCACAACATTTTGTTGATATTGTGAGTGCACACAAATAAAAGTAGACCCTTTACAGTTACGAATGATGTATTACTCTTACCTTTATGAGCAAAAATGACGGTGTATCCACTGAAAAAAATGCAAGTGATCGCGCTGGCACCTCTATGTCCTGCAAAGCGCGCTTCAGCTTCCACTCTCCGCACAAACTATTGGATACAGCGCACATTTATCTAGGTTTAACGTTTAAGCATTGTTATATGCTAGAACTGTTTTATATCTATAGATTTTATTTGAGTCAAGTCGTGATGATTTGAGAAGGCTAAATTGATCAAGCATATGCTCACTGTCTGCCGCTGGCCACTTGGTCATTACTTTAAATGCGTAACGATAATTGGGCTATGTGAGTACTGCTCATGTCTGAAAATAATATATGAAAAAAAATTATTTTACATAAAAACATTAGGCTATAGCTTATATTTATTTTGTAAATTTTTTAATTAATGTAAAAACTAAAATGAATTGTAAAACTTAAAGTAATTTTTTAAAATTGTGTTCAGCATGGTGGGCCGCATTTGAATTCTTGACGGGCCGCGGGTTGAGAACCACTGGCTTAAACCAATGAGCATCAATAATCATAACCAATAATCAGTTTTATTATTAAAAATCCAGTATAATGCTTGTTGTTTAAAAGAAAATTAACATTTTAATATGTGTTCTGTTTACATGTCTGGTTTCTCCTGTCCTGTGAAGACCCCTTATTCTCCTGGACTGTTTATTGTTTATTTTTTATTTTTTATTTTTTTGGAATGCTGTTTAGTAGTGGTGAGTATTATTAAAAACTTTTACTTTTGTTTTAAGAGGTTGCATTCACATGCGTACATCTCTGATGACTGCTTTGAATGATATGCTTCTTAATATAATTTGATGAGCATAATCCAATAGTCTTAATTCTAATATTTGTTAACCGTTTTAAAACTGATGCATACTTTTGATATTTTACAGATATCTGATATTTCACCAGACAAGTGCACTTATTGACATCCACTTCACTGTCAGTCCAAAGCCTCTACATTAATGGTATTTATGAAACTATACTGTAATCTGTATGTTTAGTTTATCTGTTTAAATCACATGTTTGCTACTTTTAAAATCTTTGTCTGACAATGTTGCAAATGTTAATATTAATCTATTATTTTTCTCTCTCCCTGTCCATTGAATGTGTCCGTGTATTAAGGGTGCACAGCTGCAGTTAGATTGGAGTTACCAAAACATCCACACTTTGGACATTTCTGCCATTATCCATGTACGTATTCAAAGACATGTGAGTAAGCTTATTGGTGGCCCTTCCAGAGGCTTCCAGATAGTGCGCTAGAGGGTCTCAAATGTGTAATGCAAAAGCCACACACACACACAAATGTGCATATGCAAAAGTGAAGATGGTGCCGTGTCGCCTCATTACATGCTCATGGGCGTGCTTTCAGCTTGCCTTGCCTGCTGCCATGGTGACACTGCACTGAAAAAAATGGCAATGAGGAGGTTGTTGAATTTTTAAATTATAAATTATAAACCAGTATAAATTTCTTTGTTCTGCTGAACACAAAGGAAGGTATTTTGAAGAATGCTTATAACCGAACAGTTTTAGGGGCACCATTGGCTTCTATAGTATTTTTTTCCTACTATGGCAGTCAATGTTGCCCCAAAGCTGTCTGGCCTCAAACATCCTTCAAAATACCTTCGTGGTATCATTTACTCACCCTCAAGTTGTTCCAAACCTGTATAAATTTCTTTGTTCTGCTGAACACAAAGGAAGGTATTTTGAAGAATGCTTATAACCGAACAGTTTTAGGGGCACCATTGGCTTCTATAGTATTTTTTTCCTACTATGGCAATCAATGTTGCCCCAAAGCTGTCTGGCCTCAAACATCCTTCAAAATACCTTTGTTTGTGTTCAGCAGAACAAAGAAATGTATACAGGTTTGGAACAACTTGAGGGTGAGTAAATGATACCAGTATTGTAATTTTTGGGTGATTGATCCCTTAAAGTATTTCTTTGAGGTGTATAATGGTGGAGCTTTAAAATGCCCCAAAGCTGTCTGGCCTCAAACATCCTTCAAAATACCTTTGTTTGTGTTCAGCAGAACAAAGAAATGTATACAGGTTTGGAACAACTTGAGGGTGAGTAAATGATACCAGTATTGTCATTTTTGGGTGATTGATCCCTTAAAGTATTTCTTTGAGGTGTATAATGGTGGAGCTTTAAAATCAGCACACTTTCAAAGAAAGTCCTTCCTAAAAAATTTAGAAATGTTTTTTGTAGTACATTAGTTATGCTGTTATTGTTCTTATTGTGTAACATTGTATTACGCAAAGCAATTTTTGGGGGGCGTGGGTTGAGGGGAATGAAGTGTTAGTTTTAGTTTTGGATTTTGCTTTTATATGGGCTTATATTATACTTTAACAGATGCATTTCAAACAAATTAGCTATGTCTGTAACATGTCTCCTGTATATTTGTAATATGTATGAACTTGTGTACTATTGAAAAAATACAGTATTTCTTTCCAATAAATGTTTTTGCTTATTGCCTTACTTAAAAATCTACAATATTAGGGTGCTAAAATGCTTGTATTTATTAAAAAATTAGCACTTATAGTTTACCAAAGCTTTTTTTATTCTGTTATAACATGTGTCTCCTGTATTTGTATAATGTATGTACTGTTGTGTACTATTGAAAAAATACAGTATTTCTTTCCAATAAATGTTTTTGCTTATTGCCTTACTTAAAAATCTACAATATTAGGGTGCTAAAATGCTTTTATTTATTTAAAAAGTAGTACTTAGTTTACCAAAGCTTTTCTTATTCTGTTATTAATTTTATCTGGATTTATCGTACATTTGATCATAGTTCTATTTAATTTATTAAAACACCACTGCCTGGATAAAGCTTTTATTTAAACAAAAATCATGTTAAATCAACAGGAGGTATGTGGCACAAAAAGCATAAAAACAACACAAAAAAAATCATTTGACAAAAGTTAAGTAACAAACAGAAATAAATTATGTTGAGAGAACATAATAAAAATAAGTGCAACCGATGTACATATTTTGTTAATCCAACAGGGTTTTTTTTCAGTGCATGCAGTAACAGGAATCAAATGCAACAAAAGTTTTATTTGTATAGTTTTCATAAAAAATACTATGTTTCCATGTAAAATAATTGCAAAAATAAATAACTTGTAGAGTTACATTTAAAAATATATATTGTGCTGGTTAACTATGGAACCTGCTCACAATAGACTTCATTTCTGTCAGTCACTTTACTGCTATTGCCAAGGATCTTGCACTGTCACTGTTTTTTTCTCTTTACTAATTACATTTATATTCCTACATTGCATTTTATATTATTATATTTGTGTATGAACTTAATATATATTTAAAACTATATTTTTTATTAATTCTGTTTCATATTGTATTAAGTTGGTAAATGTTCAGTAGTTTCTATGTCTGTTGCTAATACCAAAAGCAGGTTGTCTTAGAACTGAAGAAGCATGAAAAAGAATTTCACTGAACTTGGGATAATCTGCCAATAAAGCAAGAAGACGGCAACAATACAAATAATTAAACATGGCAAATAAATACACACATAAACAGTGCAAACAATAAAATAATAATAATAACCATAATACAGTGCAGCACTGCATATCTGCTTAAAGGGATAGTTCACGCAAAAATGAAATTTATGTCATTTATTCACCCTCATGTTGTTCCAAACACAAAATAAGTTTTCTCTGTTTTCTTTATTTAAACAAACCACATGAATTTGCCAATGAAATCGGAGATTGCTTGTAACTGACATTTGTACATTATGCGCTCTTTTAACAGGGATGCTTTTATAAATAACAACCTGATGCACACATATATAGCAAAGATGCACAGATAGCAATATACTGGTGGGCCGTCAGGGCCAGCAAAGCCTTCAGAGGCAGACCAGCGGGGAGATGAGAGTCACAGAGGTAGGTTAAAACACATGTAAGTTATACACTTTTCTTCATCGTCTTGTATGAATTATTTTAATGTTACTTGCTCACTTTCCTAGTAAAGCTGTGCTAACCAGTATTTTCCTCCCGCAGTGCACTGGCAGACCAGCGGGGAGACTCGTGAAGACGAAATAAAGCAGTAAGAGAACGTTAAGTTGTTAGGTCAACTTTAAAACACATGTAATCACCTTATTTGTTTAATACCAATGCTGTCTGTAAGATATAAATACGTTTGGGTGAGTAAATGTCTCTAAGAACATCGGATGGACTGTGTTTGTGTCATTTTGTTAGGTTAATGCTTCAGCTACAGATGATGTATGTTTTTTAATTGTTAATTGGGTTTCTTTCTTTAGTAATGGCATTCATTCTCGCTACATAAGATACGTATCTGTTATGTAGTGCCCTGTTATACTGCATTACTGTGTAATATTTATGGTTTCTATAGCCGTGGCATCATTATGATGGTATGAAGAGATGGATTAATTCATGTAGGACGCCACTGAAGGCCTAGGTGTAAAATGCACGGCCCGCCACTGCAATATACACACTACCCATGTTTCAGATTGGGTGCTGTGCTTTTATTTCCTAGAGCTGATAAGCATAAAGTGCCTAGGAGAAAAACAGTTAATGGTAATAGCTGACTAACTGCTGTGATTTGCTGATGGCATAGAGACAGAGAAAATAAAAAGGGAGTGATAAAAAGAAGGGGAAGGGGGTTTGACATTTTCTGTTAGCTCTAATTGGGGCATGGAAGTGGCACTGTCATCAGGAGCTGGGAACCAGCTCTAGTCTGGGCATGTCAAATCTCGATCACTCAGGAAAAGACAGACCCTTCTTACCCGCTGTCCTGGGGCAAGTACGGACAGCCCCAAATACTGCTGAGCACTCCTGCAGACCAATTAAAACCTGCAAATCACAATCCTGCTCTCCCTTAGAATCCTATCCATCTATATGAAACTGTATGAATGTACATTGTAAATATATAGATAATATATAGATAGAATAAACCATAGAATGTAAATCCTGAATAATATTTATATATTCAGTATTAAAACGTTATATACTGGAATTTTAAATAAATATTCAGATTTCATATAATTATTTCTTGTATGTTCCCTCCTATTTAATTAACAGAACGGTGTAACCAATGATCAGTAAAGCTTTATATAAGGCTATGTTTGTTTGTTGATGGTATTAACAAATGCTATTTTCTCTTATTTGTCTCAATACCTGTACAAAATGTTTGTGTATTGAACACCCTGCAAAAAGGAGTTTAGTGCTCAATCCATTAAGCTGCACTGTTAGCTTTGTGCAGCTAAAACAGAAGACATATTAGCACTGTGACGGGTCTCAAGGGAGCGAGTGCTGAGGACAGTGTAGACTCTCTCAGATACCAATCACTGCACCCAGGGGCTTTGTCTTCACAGTAAAATCTCATTATCAGCCAGACCGGTACAATTTTCCATGCATATCTGCATATTGATTCCCACTACAGACGCCATTGACTAAAAGAGTACGACGGCTGGGCTGCCAGGGCTGAATAAAACGAGTCGAGCTGATGATACGCCAGGGATGGGAAATCTGACAATAACAACCCTGAAAGTTTGATTTGACTGAAAGAGTGATCCACTTTGCCCAGAGTACAGTAATTTTGAGATTATGAGTTGCTCTATGATGGTTGTAGGACATATATGATGTGATGGGTAATTATGGCGTGTCTTGGGTCGGGCTCGTCAGCGGCAGCCAACGCAATCAGCTCAGTGCAGAAATAAATGGGTCAGGAGGAGAGCCGCTGATTAAAATCACATTGAATGGGGTTTCCTTGCTGATTTCCACTGCTGGCCCTACATCTGTTCACCTACGAGGAGATACAGAAAAACAGAGATGGCAAGCAAACGTCTGTGGGGAAGGAACGCACACGCTGCACGCACGAGCACGTCGATCCGCATTATCGCACACATCAACAGACCTGCTCGAATCCTGTTAAACAGATGAATACGAAACGTCTATGACACATATCAAAAGATTTTTATTTAAAACATACTCATTTCTGCTTCAGCGTACTCACTGAAGCATAACTAAGTGCACTGAGCCACACGAGTCAATAAACCTGTGTGTGTGTGATTGTGTTAACCTGTGCTGGACTGAATGGCAGGTGGGCTCAAAGGGCACAGTGTGCCTGCTGAGTGGGCAAGGAGAGTGGAGCAGCTGTAACCGGGCCCACATGGCCCTTAACGGCCCCTCACGGTCCCTGGCTGTCAGAGTAAGA